CGACTGTAGCTGAGTGTGAGAATTCACGTTTTACTTCAAACTGTTATCCGATTGGAATTGAATTGGTGTTACGCAAAGAATTTATGTCCGAATGAATTTACATCTACATCAATTTATTCTTCCTTTATTTCTTAATAAAGTTCCTCCTCGAATTACTATTATGAATTTTCACGGGGTTTCTATACTTTTTTTTTTTTTTCTTCAAACCTTATCAAACTACGTCAACCTGGCTCGGTATTTTTCGCCAAGTTGAAGGTAAAACCTTCCTCGAGTTGATGTTGCAACGAGAACAGACTATCGTAATTACATCAGGTCAGGTTTGAAATAAGTTTGAGAATATATGAAGCAACCGCGAAAGACTTGTAGCGCGTGTATACATTTTGTAGAGATCACGAAAGTATTTGTAATACGTACAATTACATTAAATCAATATGTTCGACAATTATTGGACACGTGTTTCTGCGATTGTAGGAAAAAATGCACACTTCCATTCTCGTTTAACATTCTTCTCGGCATTAGTAAATGAATTTTTGTCATCACAGTATATAAAAACACGATTTTGTATAATATTGCTTCTCTTCCTCTATGTATGTATATTTATAACGTTCATTATTCTCAGTTGAAAAAGTAAAACTGCATCGCCTGGTAAAATACAAATGAAAAAAAAAAAAAAAAAAGAGTCTAAACTGTAACTACGATCGTTCTCTTTTAGGCAACGCGAGTTATAATTTGAACGCAAATCGACAAATACGGAAAATAAAAAGAAGACACAAAGGAATGATATGAATAATCATACTCTTCGATCGTCAACTTGAAGCGTATGAATAAAACATTCGGCTTCGTATCTTCGTGCACTTTTCGCGATAAATACATAGTCCAATATTCCATATTTGATTGGCACGTGAATGCAAATTTCTTGATACTTTGACATAGGACGCTCTTCCTTATAGTCACCTGCCATTGGACTGCGGACATTTACGTAAGTTCTTTGAAATCTTAACAACATAATCGATCTTCAGAGACGATAATTAGGAACATATAAAGGATGAAATCTCGACGGAAAATGAAATTTCGCCTAGCAAATATTATTGAAAATACGCTACACATTTTTCTCATTGTTATAAATGCAATTCCAAAATCTTCAACAATTTTAACATTTTCCACGACTGCGAAAATTCTACAAAATACAACATCGACGATCTTAAAAACTTTGGAGAAAAAGAAACAACTCCTACAAAATATTGGCCATTCAAATTATTTAAATATTTTTTACATACATTTTTAAATTAAAGAAAGATATTCGGGGATCACAATTGATTGAGACACGCTGTGTAGTGATCTCAATGTTTCGATCGGCAACGTATGATAGATAGATATAGGGTAAAAAATGGTTTTGGAACTACCGACATGTATAAACAATATCCAGTGCTTCTGATCATTCAACGAGAAGTAGGCCATTCGTCTATTTTTGGCTAAACGACCTGGTCGTTTCGACTACAGTCGATTATTTAAATAGTGGAAAGCCAGTTGTAGAGTGAATGCGAAACAACGAAGAGTTGGTCAATGAACAATAGAGAAAGATCAATAAATTTATCGATACGTATCGATCACGCGACTGCTCGTCAAGCACCGCAAACGGGACCAACAAAAATTCTAATCTAATCTGATTATTATCGACGATGCTCCAAATTCAGGCTTCTAAACTCATTTTTTTCCATTCATTTTCCGAACAGTTTTTTCTTTCAACTGGCACGGTTTCTCCGCGACTAATTCAATTAACGATCGACGATTTTTATTCACCAATTAAATCTTTCAACTGGCACGGTTTTTCTACGACTAATTTCCCTTAATTAACGATCGACGATTTTTATTTGTCGATTAAATCAATTAATTTTTCAATCGATCGGTGGCAAACTCGGCGGTCGTAAAAATTTTTTCCAAGGTTGCATAATGGCATAAATTCATGCTGCAGTGTTAATTTCCACGGAAAAGCTGTGTGCACATGAAAAATCTTCAATTGTACTGCGCATCTTTTGCACAACGCGTTTAAAAGAAACTTGAAAACTCGATATTCTCCTAACTCGTAGACTAAACGTTAATATATATAATATACACGTAATTACAGTAAATTAAATTGAATTAATTAAATTAATAATTGATAATTACTAATTTAAAAATACTTGGAATTACATTTTACAGATTGCAACAGTGATCTACGGAGGATTCATCGACATTGTCTGTTACTAGAGTATCAACTAGAGTTGTTACTTATGAGATAGCTGAAACTATAACTATCGTATCTATTATTTCTACTCATATCACTCGGATGTCTATAATATAATTCTTATTTTAGCGATGAATAATAAAGCAATTGTTTTAAATCAGATGTCTTTGTATAAAAATGTTAATAAATGTTCCAGTAGTATGGGACTCGTCCGTCTTGAACTAATTGTAAATAATACTCTTTCAGAGCAAGCAGATGTCACTGATATACATAAATATTCTTTTTAACAAATTTCACATTTTTAATCTCGGGTATTTTCTTTCTCCATCATTCTAATGGACATAAATTATACTCCGTCACGAAAACATCAATATTGCTCGAAATATCGTATCGAGTGCCCGGGTATTCGACGATTCAAATAATAATAACTGTAAGATACCCGCGTAATTTTTTTTTTTGCCTGGCTATTTCACGGATCATTTATACTATTTAAACTATTACTAGGATTTCTAAAAGTATTGGTTCTGATATAAACGCAGCTCCACGCGACACACGTCAGTTGCTCAACGATCTTATTATTAAGCACCGTTATAAATAACTTTTGACAATCGCATTAGCAGACGCGCAAATTAGCCATTCGACGCAGCGCAACGTTATAATGCCAATCTCGCGAAACGCTCAGCTACGTTCCTACGTTAATATTAACGTAAAATCCGTATCAATGTTAATATCGGGCCGGTAATTGTTCGAATCGGCAAATACGGCTCTCCGCCATTCTACGCTCCATCCCGCGTGCCAAGTATCATTTCGAGATCAATATACATAATCGCGAAATGTAAATGGATGTCGCATAGTTGCAGTGGCATAATCTCGGCCGATCTGGCCGAAATTTATGCCATAAATGGAAGACACAACTGCACCAATGATAATGATGAAATTTAATTTGGTAAAAGAAAAGAGGAAAATCAATCATATGACTTGTGGCGATTTTAAGTTTTTATTTTTGCGGATTTTTGTTTGAAGTGAAGTTCTCTTCTTTTCAAAGATGATTTTACGTAGCAGATGGGAAAGTGAGTTTCACGAAAATTGTAAAATTTCACGTGCGTGTAAAAACGTTGAAAAATATTTCTTTATGCCCAAGACCACTATGGTTGAAATTTTCTCTTTACGACGAGCCCTTAAAATTTGTTTTATTTCATCATTTTACTGAACTTGTAACATTAGTTATATCAGTTTAAATTGTCAATAGTTTTTCATTATCATTGGTACAGTTGTGCTCTTTTTCAACGAGGAAAATGCAGTAAAATAATCACATTCAGCAGAGGCAACAAACAAATTGATACACATATTTCTCAAATTAGCAATATCTACCTTTATCACTTTCGGGTTGCCAGTTACTTCGGCACCATCTGGTCAATACGTACCTGAAATTGAAAAAAATCATGATTGAATTTTCAACATCAAAATAACTGCTATTTTTTTCTTTTGAAAGGGAAATTTAAAAGTTATTTGATAAATGGGTTAAATACAATGACTGTCACTTGAAACCGTACACCCAAAAGTTCATTGAATTTGTATTTCATTTGGATTCAATAAAGCAACCTAAAAAGATCGTATCTTTTGTCAGATAATCTAATGAAAAAAATATTCAAATTGTACTATATTATAAAATTATATTATAATAAAAATAATAGTATTGTAATATATTATATTATAATATATATTATATAGTATTATAGTATAGAAAAATATTCAAATATACAATGTACTGTATAATGCTCAAATACAGATACAAATATATCTGGAAACATAATCTAGAGCCTTGGTTCCCAATTGCTATAGGGGTGCAATTTGATTTTCTAGGGGATCAACTCGAGAATAAGTTATTAACAGTGAATTTGTTGTGTTTCTTTAAATGAAAATTTAACTTTTGCGGATTGTGCAATGCACCACGAATTGCTTCCTAATTAATAGTCTTTTAGGCTTCCTTTACGTCAAAAATTCACTTTTTGAATAATAAGAATTATGTGTCACAAGAGTAAGGGCATCAGAATTTTAGAGATGCCTAGGTGGGGCTAAAAAAAGGTTGGGAGCCACTGATTGAGAGCAACAAAAAAAGGTTTCGCTTATTAGATCTGAACAATTTCCACTTTTATTGATACGATTTAAGAAAAGAAAAAAGAATCATGTCGTGAAAATCCCACAGTGTGGGCCATATTTCAGAAATGTTTTAGAGAGAAGAAGAGAGAAATTGTTTTCATAAATGGCAGACTGAAGCAGCAAGGTATAAGGATATGTCACATGAGCATTTACTCCCTTTTATTACTGTAATAACAGACAAAGAGGTAGTTTTCCAACAAGCCAACGCCACCATCACAAAAGATTGGCTTGAAAATTTTGGAATAAAGTTACACACATGGCTGGCATTTAATCTCAATAAAAAAACCTATAGAGACTTCTAGTGAAAAAAGTTTATGACCGAGAGAAACCATCTATTAACAATATCACAAAACTTATTAAATGACAAATTTATTGAAATTATTATTGAGTTCTTTTCACAGCTGAGAACACAATCTTAAGGACAAATTTAATTTAATTTTTCTCGAATTTCTTTTCCCGAATCAAACAATGAAAAATTTTCGGTATTCGTTTCTCGTCGGTTTATACAGTTTCACGTTACAACGTGAAAATAGATAAAGAGCTTTGCAAATGTTTGCCTCGCTGTTGAAGAAGATGTGAAAATGGAGTCTATAATTATTCACGTTCAAGTCTGTACCTGTAAGCTGCATCTCGCCTTTAATCATACACTGTTTTTTGCTGGACACTCGACACCCGACAGCTGACATTCCGTTGTAAAATAAACGTACTCTCATCGAGAATGTCCAGTGGTGGTAATTAGCAACATCTTTCAGTTTTTCTATTCACAAAACATCATCGTCATAACATAAAACGTCACTTGACATCAGCTCACGCCGAATTCACTCCCGACCGACATTTTGTTGTTTTGATCACTCTGATTGGTGTTCGTTACGTTAATGTACAATTCGCGTTTGGTCACGTGACCGCTCGATGCTTTATTGCAACTCGCGTTTATTTTCTGTTTTCCCCGCGGAATAATTATTTGCCGAACAAAAATACTAAGCACACTCGAAACGTTTCGAACTCTAAAATCTGGGCCGGTGACCTGTTAGAATTGGTCTCGCACGATTTTGGAATTAAAGCTGGATAAACAACTCACTGAGGAACGCGCGCGTTTTGTTTATTTGGAACCAGAAACGGAAGTGGAGATTTTTTAGTGGAGGTTTCCAAATGCAACGCGGGTGGCGCCACCCATCTCGATTTCATCTGTCAATTAGGCGGGAAGAAATGATGAGTGTGGACTTAACACTTTCCTGGCGGGAAATTGCATGTAAAAGGTACATATATATATTATTTATTTAAAACCATTGTAAAAGTTTTATAAATAATCATACAACTTTATTGTACAACTTTTAACAATATAAAAATCGAACCCGTCAATATGACCAATCTTGGACTTCCGTCTTTTTGCGGAAATGGATATTCTTGTATCAGAAGTAATATTAATTTCTGTTTAAACAGAAGCATAATTGTATGAATATTAATTTCAATTATCATTGAAATTATAATAACTTATGTGTAGAATATTTTGATATTAAGTATTAATGGATATTTTCATTTATTTATTGTTAGCCAACCAAAGTCAAATGTATATGTGTGACCATATGCACAGCGATTACAAATACAACAGCAAATGAATTACTCAACAACACGTATAAAACGACTGAAAAGAATAAAGTCGCATTATTCAGAACTATGTATTATTGAATCACAGAATTTAGTTTAAGGATCAAATTCTGAAGAATCATCAAAGGATGATATCTTCTCACTTAATAATATCACAGATCTCATTTGCTAAATGATCTGAATAGGTCAATTGCAAATCTAAAAACTTCAGTAGAAAAAAAAAAGGGAAAAAATTAGGCAGATTAGGGAGATTCGCGTATATAAACTCCTATAACATGAACAAAAATTCACTCATAGTTCTCTCATAGAGGACGTAACGAGGACAAATTGTATCTTTCAAACAAAAAATGTTACAAGTAGAAATTAAATGATATCCAACGAAGTATAATTTGGAAATAATTTCATTTTCTCTTTTTTTTTTATGTATTGGTGCATCCTCTATGAAAACATATAATAACATATAATATAATATAAAAATATACAAATATATATGTATGTATATATTTATTTCAGCCTTTTTGGCCTTGAAATTGACTTTGGCTTTTACATTGCACATTTCACATTGCATTTATCCTAAATTTTACATGTTATAATAAAAAATACATAAATATATAATATAATACAATATATAATAAAATATATTGTACCAATCAATGCAGTTTTTATATCTGTAGCGAAAAGTATTTACCTAGACCCAATAGTTCCAAAGTTATCACAGCCAAAGGTTAAATTAATTCGGTGTATCTGCTAAGTATTCTCCATTACAACAATCTAAATGTTTCGACACTCTCTTTTTCACGTTGTCCAATACTTTTGTTATGCCTCTTTCTATAATTCTTGATATTTCGTATTCCCATACCTACTATTGTACCGCGCAAAACGCGAGAATTTCTCCAACGAAAATATATGAAGAATGAACAGAAATATCGAATGTTGTTTTCGTTGCGAACCGCTTCTAAAAATAAAATTTTTCGCGCACGTTTCAGGCGGTATGAATAAACAACGACGAAAATATTCATTCGATCGTTGCGATCGGTTGGAGACCGTGTTCCCGCAAGCGGTTAACATATAACCGCGTTGATACATTTATATATTTATATATTGTGTATATGTGTGTATATGTGTCGCCAGCACGACAGAGAATTAAGAACGTAGCTAATTTTATTTGCCGACAATAAATTAAAACCGGTAACCATAAAACGTCTACAGGTTGCACGCGTTCAAGCCTGAAACCGTTCCGCGTGCTGGCATCGTGCCAACCATCCTTACGATACTGTGCAAACGCGTGAAATTCATGTACGATTAAATCAATCGAAAACTTTTCGCTTGCCCGCTATCTCGACATTGCGCTATTCGTTTTAATAGTTCGCACACTTTCGACTAACCTGCCACGTTCCTCAATTTGACTTTGTGTGAAATACTTCGTTTGCGACATGTAATATATATAATAATAATAATAATACATAATATATATAACAATATTTTTTAAGTATGATGTTATTTGGAAAAGAGATAATGATATTGATGAAGCATATTGATACACATATTTATTGTCATTATTGTCGTTGTTACTATATCAATCAGGCAGTATTCTCTGAAGCAGAGGTATTTCAATATTTTACAATCAGTAAAAAGTATTATGAGCACTCAGTAAAAACTAACAATTACTGATCGTACAATATGAACATGTTATGTTTCTAAAAAATAATATTAATTACGTGTAATACATACGGGTGTATTGATATTAATTTTATTTCAGAGAACGCATATAATAGTATTTACAATTGAGGAAATTACAGACTGATTATCAGATTAGTCACTGCGCTGGATCGCGGTAATGTATGCTGTTAGACCTTGTCCTTCAACGTTTTCATTATGTAAGTAATAACATCTAACTCGTTTATTCCGTTAAACTAGAAATGAAAAGATTGCTAGTGTACATTTTTTTCTTTTTTTTCTTTTTCATGCATATTCTTTAACATGTACATAAGGATGAAATATTCAGAATTCTTATCAATATATTTCAAGTCCATTAAAATCAACGAAGAAGCCTACTTTCGCAATATAAATATATAACAATAATATTTAATATAAATATACAAATATATAATAATCTATGATTAGTAAATTAATAAATTTCACAGCAGATAGTTTAAAAAATTAATACTTGTGTGCGAGTGTATTAAATAAATGTCAAACGATTGAACGAAGAGAGTAACTCATTGGTCTGTTCTTTGAGGTTCAATCAATCAAAACTCGCCTTTTTTTTTAGCGAAAGCCGAGCCAAGCTTGATTCATCGCAGATAATTATCTAGACGCGATATTTGTTGCAAAACTATTAAATCGTGCATGTTGCTGGTGCAAACATCTACGTAATGCCAACGTTTGCATGCACAATATAAACCAATTTAGTTTCTTCATCCTTGATCTCGATGAACACTCGTTTTGCACGCTTTACTATTGCGCGTATATTGTTCTAAAATTTATGCACATATACGATGTTCATAAACTTGAAGGTTGCGGATGACTATTTCGGTCGAACGTAAAATAATATTTTATAACACTACACTTTACACTATTACGAAATAGAGTTACGAGCAATCGAAATAAATTTCCCTCGTCGATGACTATTATAAGCGACCGAAATATAATCCCCTCGTTAATAACGTAATTGTTATTTGTAACCAAAATGTTTAAATTTTTCATCGTGTAGTTTTTGAATAAAGTTTTGTTTATATTAATACCATCAACATAAATAACATACAACAGGTACAAGTCTCAATTATTGATTTTCTTCATGAAACTGTTTGAGATAACTCTCATTTTAATGCATCGTATGATGCAGCGCACTACATTCTTTGTTTTTTATTTTACGATATAATTTACATGTCATTTCCTTATAATTCATGGTCATCTGTGACGAAAACATATGCCAAGATTTTTTATTTTATTTTATACGTTTTCTTACATCGACTAAACAATTTTATTGAACAACACGGAAACTCGTTTTTCAAGTTTCTCGACTCTTATCAAATCCTGTTTGACACGAAATACTAATAAAAACTGACAAGATCTCAGATCTAAGAAATCAATTAGAGTTAATGAACAGTGACTTAACATTCGAATATACTAAATATTGAAAATTTTATAAAAAGAAATCGTACGATAAAACTCATTTTAAAGCTTGAAGCTTCTACGATCAGAATGCACTGTTTCATTCATTCTGTTTATTCTAAAATTTTTCACAGAAGTTTTCACAGTTTTATACAGAAAATGGCAAAATGAAGACATTTTTTTTCTCTACAAATTATGATAATATGTAAAATCATTGAAGAATTTTCAAGCCTAAGAAGATTAAAGCCTACTTGTTGCAACGATCTCTCGAAACTTGTTGCGCGATTTTTCTTCAACTTTGAACGTAATCGCGAAAATGTCACGATTGCCCGAGTTTTCGTCACCTGAGTTTAATACTTGAAAAGGATACTTCAATTCTCAAATGCATCGTAGTGAAATGAATTTCAGTGCACGAAAAAAATCAAAAACTCAGCCATGAAAAAGATTTGGGATAATATTCTTGCCACGACAATTTATTCCTTTTCTCTTTGAAGAAGAAAAATGTTTTCACTGCTGCGTATTGTAAAAGTAAATCTTACAGTAAAGTGAACTATCATTATACAAATTCTTTTTACAAAATTATAACGATTATTTAGTGTTCGAATATTAATGTGAATCACTGTGTATAGATTCGAACAGAATTAAACAAAAAAAAAAAAAAAAAAGCGGGAAAACTCTGCTAATTTCTATTTCTATCCAGTGACGCGGGAATCTTAAAGATATTTCGCAGATACTTGTCGACCTCTGTCCATTAATTACAATTACATAAAATGGAATTTGAATATTTATTTAAATTCTGACGTGCAGATATTCTATCGTGCAGGAAAAGAGATAAAATGTTAATAGAGACCTCTCATAATAATAAATGCCTTAATAATTACATTAGCTAAATAACTGGCAGATTACAAGCTTCTTTTCAAATTCCAATAACTTGAAGCTAATGGAGGAAAAAATGTAAAAATTACAATGTAGATGAAAAGTGATTTACTCGGGGAAGAGTAATGGAAAACAATGACGGTACACAATGATATTTACGCCTTTGAAACAATGAGACACGACTTTATGATCTATAATCAAGTGCTTAATGATGAATGTGCTGTTCGTTAACCTTTGCCATTTTATGAATTATTTATGCATCGCGGAACAACGTCATCGTTGCCTCCTTACGTGACAAATGATCTTTTATTGTTCTATGAAGAAAAATAGCT